TAGGAGAACGTATGCTGAGAATACCAACAAGGTCAGTAATACTCTTTAACTGAAAATCACAGAAGTCTGAACGAACGTACGATTTAGCCTTCGCCGGTGGCATCGCCTAGTGGTAACGCATGGACCACAGTCGGCCCTAGTGGAAAGCAAACCTCTGCGGGTGCCACTCCTACTCGTCCTCCTGCCACACCAGCTGCTACTGCTACTAGCTCTGCTTCTGTTACACGAGTGAACGGCGCAGCGGCTCGTCCTACTTTAGCACCCGTCACCAAGACGCCCGCAAACAATGCCAAGGTGGATGACTTCCCTGTAGCGCCGTCAACTGAATTCTTGAAGTGGCTTGCTGAATCACTCAAAGGTCTGAACAATTCTGTCAATGGTAAGTATCCTAGCTGCATACTTCGACTTTCATCTGTTTGAGCTGACGTGTCGTTATCAGCCGAGGAAATTATGTCCATGCTCCTTTCCTTCCCCATCGATCCAGATCCTTCAACGTCCGAAATCATCTCCGATCTCATTTACGCCAACACCACCACCCTCGACGGAAGACGGTTCGCTGCGGAGTTTTTGAGCAGACGGAAGGCAGATGCTGTGGCGCGAGCAAAGGCAGGTCCTGGAGCGGCAGCAGCCAAGACGGTGTCGATTGCGGATGTGGTGAAGGCGCAGCCTAAACCTCAGGCACAATCAGAGTGGGGTGGGTTCAAGGTGGTGAACAAGAAGAAGAAGGGAGGTAGGACATAAAATCTGGGTTGGGATGTGAGGCTGTTGATCTCGGTCTTGGAGATTTCAATGACATGTCTTGTGCTTGTAGGGGTTTGTAGGGATTTGTAAGTACATAGTTGAATCAGTCACTCAAATCAGCGTGCTCATTGAGAGTCTTCGTACCAGAGTACGAAGAGGATCACCGATTGTTTTCGTTGAATCTATCCTTAAGTACATACTTCTGGGTTCAATAGGTACGACTTACAGGGACAATCAGATGCAGTATTTAAAGGAAATCTTGTACCGTATATTGATTGATGTCCAGGCAGGTTGAGAGAGACTACGAATGATATGACTGACTGAGAATCCTAGCTTCTATCATCTCCATTCATAGAGACTACACAATCATGAGTGAGATAGCAACCAATACTACGTGTCGCGAGCTTGAAACTCACAAGCATCGCTGTCTCCGACGCTGGCTACATGCACACTGTTGAAGGGATCAATCAAGGCAATAGTGGCTGTCGTTCCACTGATCGCTCGCAAAATTTTAACTCGAGGTTTTCCGTCAATTGCGCAGTCATTAGAATCAGGTATCATATTAGCCAGCTGAGCGAATCGTGATTTTCCAGAAGATGCGACGTGAAGCCATCCATGATGCGCGACTCAACTGTCGTAAATGCTCGTTCAAGTATTTGATCTATCACAGTATCGTTGAAAGAATCCCAAGCGAGTTCAGAAGTCAGGTATGCCTTCACAGTCAACGGTAGTTCCTTCACAACGAAGTTTGCAACCTCAGGACCACCGTGCCCTATAAAACAGTGGCGACTGGGCCGGTGACATATGGCGTACCTCTGTCATTCCTGGATAATAACAAAGCCGCGCTCAGCGTACGGGATATTCAACCTGTGAGGCATTCGTCATGGCAGAAGATTCTGCTTTTACCCAGGCTTGTAGGTTTCGGTTGGTTCTTTACACTGTGATGTTTGTCGTGCTCATTGGAAAGTTGAAAGTGTAAAAATCTATCAATACCAACCATGATTAATGTGGCTCGTATGTATTTTATGGGGTTCTGTGTGGATCTACGGCTGGTTTATGGGGTAGGCTTTATGTGGTGTAAATTCAGCAGTAAGATAATTAATTCATCGATTAAGAAAGTCCATGATGTACAAACACTGGAATACTCTCACGACTCTTTTATCTCCATCACATCGAGGACGTCGTTTGCATACGACTTTCGACTCAATTGTCTCGACAGACTCAACACCGATGAACTTGAAAGTTCTCAAATGATGTATTCATCGTCGCGAATCAAAACCTACAAGCGAAATAATGCTACGCTAGCATCTTTCTCCCACACTTTTATGTTATCTACCATCTTTTTCAGCTTCTCCTTTTCCAGCTTCTCAAAACGTGCGTTGGCTCTAGAGTATAGATCTTGCATATCCATTGAAGGAGGGTTAGGCACTATGGGATCATGCTCTCGACCTGGAATTCCAAGAGAGCCTATCACTTCATCACTGCGGTTTGCTGATACGAGATCCTGTTGAAGGCCGTAGCCATGGCATGAAAAACCGGGGTCGGATCTCCAACACGACAGGACCTTGTCTTCAGACTTGGCTTGAGGCTGCCTCCAATACCTAATGTTGCGTTTTTGATCCTGAAAACGAAATCACTAGGTATTAGGTGTAGCCATCAAGTGATATTAGCACTCACCATTCTTTTGGAATGGATCGGGACTTCTTCCTGAGACTCATCCAAGGCGGACTCTGCTAACTCAAGGGCAAGTGTACAAAGGTCCAATGTTGTATTCAAACTGACACTGGATGCATCCACAGGCTCCATGCTGATGTTTTCAATACCCCTGAAGCCAACGTTGCAGATGTAGTGAGTAACTGCATCGTACTGGGCATCTATGGCAGCATTGTGTTCATTGGACATCGGAGAGTCAGTGGGAAGATGTGTCGGTTGTGAGCCATTGGAGTTTCTCGGTAAGGGCTCCAACTCAGATGATAATTTTGGACGATCAGCCTAGATGATAAATGTCCGTTGTTGTCATGAACCCAACTGTAAGTTGTCACACTTACCTCGAAATTGCTACTTATTGTGCACGGATACATTATGGTAGTGTCGAGTTGAGGAGTAGTTTCGAGTTGAGGAATGAGGAGGTTCAGTGGTAAGGTCGAATGTAAGGCTTGCCACATTTTCGCCACAGTTTGTTGTCTTTTATATACCCTCCTGGATTGGTATTCAATTCAGAAGGTGACTGGGTTCTTCGGGAATCTTTCTTTTGGGCAATTTGTTCAAACAACACCTATACGACCCACAATCCCTAGTTTCTCATTACATAACGACAGTGCGGACAACACATGCATAGGATTGTTTTGGGATGACTTCAATAAATATTGTTCCCAATATATGGAACAGCCCGAACAGCCTGGACATGGAAGGTTACGTGTAGTTCTTCGCATTGTGATGTTCGACACTCATTTCTCGTGCTCCTGCAGATTGGAAGTTGAAAGTATAAAAATCTATCAATACCAACCATGATTAATGTGGCTCATATGTATTTTCGGGTTTCTGTGTGTGGACCTACGGCTGGTTTAGGGTTTTTGTGGTGTATATTAAGCGGTAAGATAATTGAATCATTGATTCAGAAAGTCCTCTATCGTCGTAAACAGCAGTAAGTAGACAATCCATCAGGCATTTGCCATTCATTTACAGCAAATTCATTCGAGCGACGCAGGGTGAACTAGGAGCGACCTAAAACCTTCTGTCGCGACGGGTGAGTGGTGGTATTGACTATCGCTGAGCCCGTCACCGACCCATGAGAATTTGTGATTGAGATTGAAGTACAAACACTAGAATACTCTCACGATTCTTTATCTCATCCCATCACATCGAGGACGTCGTTCGCATGCGACTTTCGACTCAAATTGTCCCGACAGACTCAACACCAGTGAACTTGAAAGGTCTGGAATGATGTATTCGTCCTCGGGAACCAAAACCTACAAGCGAAATAAATCTACGCTAGCATCTTTCTCTCCACACTTTTATATTATCTACCATCTTTTTCAGCTTCTTATTTTCCAGCTTCTCAAAAAGTACGTTGACTCTGGAGTATAGATCTTGCATATCCATTGAAGGAAGCTTAGGCACTATGGGATCATGCTCTCGACCTGGAATTCCAAGAGAGCCTATCACTTCATCACTGCGGTTTGCTGGTACAAGATCCTGTTGAAGGCCATAGCCATGGAATGAAAAACTGGGGTCGGATCTCCAACACGACAGGATCGTGTCTTCGGATTCGGCTTGAGGCTGCCTCCAATACCTATTGTTTTGTTTTTGATCCTGAAAATGAAATCACTAGGTATTAGGTGCAGCCACCAAGCGATATCCGCACTCACCATTCTTATGGAATGGATCAAAACTTCTTCCTGGGACTCATCCAAGGCGGACTCTGCTAACTCAAGGGCAAGTGTACAAAGGTCCAATGTTGTATTCAAACTGACACTGGATGCATCCACAGGGTCCATGCTAATGTTTTCAATACCCCTGAAGCCAACATTGCAGATGTAGCGAGTAACTGCATCGTACTGGGCATCTATAGTAGCATTGCGTTCATTGGACATCGGAGAGGCAGTGGGAAGATGTGTCGGTTGTGAGTCATTGGAGTTTCTCGGTGAGGGCTCCAACTCAGATGATAATTTTGGATGATCAGCCTAGATGATAAATGTCCATTGTTGTCATGAACCCAACTGTAAGTTGTCATACTTACCTCGAAACTGCTACTTATTATGCACGGATACATTATGGTAGTGTCGAGTTGAGGAGTAGTTTCGAGTTGAGGAATGAGGAGGTTCAGTGGTAAGGTCGAATGTAAGGCTTGCCACATTTTCGCCACAGTTTGTTGTCTTTTTTACACCCTCCTGGATTGGTATTCAATTCAGAAGGTGACTGGGTTCTTCGGGAATCTTTCTTTTGGGCAATTTGTTCAAACAACACCTATACGACCCACAATCCCTAGTTTCTCATTACATAACTAACAGTGCAGATTACACATGCATAGGATGACTCCAATAAATATCGTTCCCAACATATCGAACAGCCCGAACAGCCTGGACATGGTACATGGAAGGTTTGGTGTAATTTTTCGCATTGTGATGTCCGTCGCTCATTTCTCGTGCTCCTGCAGATTAGAAGTCGAAAATGTAAAAGTCTATCAATACCAACCATGATTAATGTGGCTCATATGTATTTTCGGGCTTCTGTGTGGATCCTACGGAGGGTAAAAAAAATCCGACCTGCCTGGCTCGAACAGGCGACACAAAGATAAATGTAACCCATTACAGTCTCATGCTCTTCCAGGCTGAGCTAAGGTTGGTTCTTGATTACATGAAATTCCTGTTTTGGTAACCGTGGGAAAGGCCCGGAATGGCATGCGTCATCTAGAAGGTTCTCTACACATCTCGAAAGTTACCGACGCGCGTCGCATATACGCGCGTTCATTGTTCAATTACTCATCTCATGCTCCGACAAAGTATAAAAGCCATGCAGTACTGCGCCTTGTATCTTTATCAATATCTTTCAATCTTAACTACTACTAAACATGTATCGCTATCAGCCTGCATACATCTCAGCTCTGCCCACTGATCTGGGCTACTCACGACCTCAATACTCTCGCCAGACATACTCGAGCCCTCTGTCTGAACAGCTCAGGGCTGCCGAAGCTCAGCGAGAAGAGGAAGAACTTCTTCGCCGTCTGGAGGAAATCCGATTCCAGAAACAGCAAGATCGACTCCGTCGCCATTTCCCTTACAATAGTTATACTCCTTATCGCTCTAGCTATCTAGAGGACGATGAGTTTGAGCGATCTGCTGCTTTCCGTCGTCGACAGCAACAGCAACAGCTCGAGCTCGAGTACCTTAGTCGCAAGCAAGAGGAAGAAGCTCGGCTCCTTGCTCTGAAGAGGGCTGAAGAAGAGCTCAAGCTTCAGCAGCTTGCCCGCTTACGTGAAGAGGAAGAAGCTCGTGTAGCTGCTCTTCAACGTGAATCCGAGCAAGTGAAAGCTGCCCGACAAAACCGATCGAGGAAGGTATGTATGACCATGTTTTTATTTACTTTTTCAAGAGACTTATGGTATGTTCAGGTTTTACCTTGTTTTCTTCAAGATAACTCGGACGACAATCAGCTTTGCCAACTCTTTGGGCCTCAAGCTCAACAACAACAGGTAGGTTTACAAATAGTCTATGAGTGTCTATATGTGCTCAGTAATATTCAACAGAGGCCATATACCGTTCGACGATCTAGTTCTAACGTCAAGTCTGAGCCTCAGACCCTGGAACAATTGTTCACGGACTTTGTTAAACAACTGAGCAATGGGAAGCCTGAACGGGAGCAGACCCCAAAGCCTGTTAGGGAAGAACCTCAGACGAAGGCTCCCTCTCCTACCCCTCGTGAAGCCGTTGCATCTCCTCAAAACTTGGAGGAAGTTCTTCGCCTTATGTTCAACCCTCAACCTCATGTTTCTAACACCGCACCTGAGAAGGTAGCATCTCCCTCGAAGTCTGTAGCTCAGGTTTGTTGCCTCTTCACAGTTAATGGGATCATAGTACTCAATAATATTCCTTTGCAGGAGAAGCCCAAAACCATTGAGATTACAGAACCTCGTCCAGTATCCGGCTCTGATTCTCGTCCGGTTTCTGCTCCGTCTCTGAAGGAACAACTTGAAGCTCGTCTGAATAATGACCAATCCAACGAGATCAAGGACACTATCCAAGCCATTCTCGCTTCTCTATCCAACCCTTCTGCGACACCGGCGCCTGCTACTGCTTCTGAAACCTACTCCAATAACAACAGCAAAGGCAAAGGGAAGGCTCCTGAGCCCCAGCCCAATTTTACACCCATTTCCGGCGACGCTCACAAGGCTCTCGAAATCGTCAGGGCCATTGAAGCTTCCCTTGTCGCACTCCAAGACGAATTTGAATTCCCCTCCGACGTCGATTTCTCCCCTGCTCCTTCGAGATCCTCATCTCCTGTTCGCGACAATGTCTCCTACACATCCGAATTTGACACACCAACCCTCAGAAAGCTAGCTTACACCGCTCGTAATCATCCTATTCGATCTTACGAGCAAGCTCTTTCGAGGTTGCTTGTTCAACTCGACGAAATTGAGAGCCATGGGAATGCCGATGTGCGGAACAGTCGAAAGGCTGTTGTAGCTCGTGTTGAAGGGGCTTTGGAGGAATTGGAGCAGAAGGTTGAGGCTAGGTGGAACAAAAGGACTAGGGATAATCGAGCCGAAAGGGAAGAAGAGGCTGAAAAGAAGGGCGAAGATACTGAAGCACCAATGCAGGAACCACTAGTAACATCTGCTCAGGACGACTTTACTGCCACATTACAACCCGAGGTCGCTACCGCACAACGCGCCTCCGATGCTACTATCGAAACAATATCTGCGTCTGATTCGACTCTCGAAGAATCTATAGAGACCTTGCCTCAACGCCCTTCATCCGCGGAGGTCGCTCAGCATCAGCCCGATGCTTCTGCAGACCCGAAACCATCTTCTACTCCTGAGTCCGACGCTTCTCCGGCCACTGAAGTAGCTGAAAGCATTGGTCTAGCTCAAGGTGAAGAACACACGGAGGAACCCACTGTCTCCAGCACCGAAGTATCTGTCGTCGAGCCACTTCCACAAATGGAGAATGACTCTATTTCCCGCACCGAGACAGATGTTGAACCAACTTCCACTTCCATAGACCTTGAAGTTTCAACCGTATCTTTGTCGTCATCTCTATCCTCGTCATCTCAATCTCAGGTTCCCGCAGAATCCTACCAATCTGTCTACTCAGATGCGTCCGTGGATACCATCCGTCCTTCAGAACTTCCATCAATTCCGGGCGACAAACTAGAATCGGATGTCGAACAGCTCCAGGCGTCGGAAGATGATCATTCAAATACAAGCGAAGAATCTGAGGCTGAAGTCGTCGTTGACACGTTCTTACTCTCTAAAGAAGATATCGCGGCGGGCGATCTCCCTTCCAAGCAGTCAGAACTAGACTTGGAGGATGCCGGAAGTGATTGGTCGGAAGTCGAGGCGTAATAAATAACTTTTATTCTCTTAGTTATTCTGATACAATATTCGGACTTTACTGTGCAAATCTCTAATTACTTGTACCTTTAGTAACTCACAACCAAGTCGCATTGTATTACATATAATAGAACCTCATTTGCCACTCATTATGAGTTCATGATAAAAAGATGAGAACCAATTTGGTAAAATCAAATCAGTCACTGAAGTTAGCGGACAAAGCCCTCTGGGACCGTCATGTGTAATGCCTGAAGATGAATTAGGATAAGTCTTCGCACTTAGACAAGGAGCGAGTGATCATGAATCGGACAGCGGTGACCATCCAAAATTTCACTAAGAATACCAAAAACATCGCCAGAAATTTCGACAGTGTAGCTAGCTAGTGCTACCGAGAAGGCGACTTTGTGCGAAAAGTCAGGGTATTTTCCAATTTGGACACAGCATTCCATGTACCATGTCCAGGCTGTTCCGTATATTGGGAACGATATTGATTGAAATCATCCCAAAACAATCTATGCATGTGTTGTCCGCACTGTTAGTTATGTAATGAAAGACTAGGGATTTGTGGGTCGTATAGGTGTTGTTTGAACAAATCACCCAAAAAAAGATTCCCGAGGAACCCAGTCACCTATGAATTGAATACCAATCCAGGAGGGTATATAAAAGATAACAAACTGTGGCGAAAATGTGGCAAGCCTTGCATTCAACCTTACCACTGAACCTCACTCCTCACTCCTCAACTCGACACTACCATAATGGATCCGTGCGCAATAAGTAGTAGTTTCGAGGTAAGTGTGACAACTTACAGCTGGGTTCATGACAACGATGAATATTTATCATGTAGGCTGATCGTCCAAAATTATTGGAACGTCAAAAAGAGGTATTATCATCTGAGTTGGAGCCCTCACCAAGAACCTCCAATGGCTCACAAGCGGCACATCCTCCCACTGCCTCTCCGATGTCCAATGAACGCAATGCTGCCATAGATGCCCAGTACGATGCAGTTACTCACTACATCTGCAATGTTGGCTTCAGGGGTACTGACAAAGTTAGCGTGGACCCTGTGGATGCATGGCAAGCATCCAGTGTCAATTTGAAAACGACGTTGGACCTTTGTACACTTGCCCTTGAGATAGCAGAGTCCGCCTTGGATGAGTCCCAGGAAGAAATTTTGATCCATTCCAAAAGAATGGTGAGTGCTAATATCGCTTGATGACTACACCTAATACCTAGTGATTTCGTTTTCAGGATCAAAAACCAAACAACAGGTATTGGAGGCAGCCTCAAGCCGAGTTTGAAGACACGATCCTGTCGTGTTGGAGATCCGACCCCAGTTTTTCATTCCATGGCTATGGCCTTCAACAGGATCTTGTACGAGCAAACCGCAGTGATGAAGTGATAGGTTCTCTCGGGATTCCAGATCGAGAGCATGATCCCATAGTGCCTAAGATTCCTTCAATGGATATGCAAGATCTATACTCCAGAGTCAACGCACTTTTTGAGAAGCTGGAAAATAAGAAGCTGAAAAAGATAGTAGATAACATAAAA